GAAAACAACAAATCCTACACAGTGTGCCTTTAAGATGACAGATCAGATCTTTTGCAAGGGTAGCCTGGGCCTGAAGACAACCTGTTGTACATGTTTTTGGTCTGTGGGGGAACTGGAGTACCTGGAGAAAACCCACACAAACATGAGGAGAACATGTAAACTCCACACAGAAAGATCACAGGTCTGAACCAGAGATCAAACCCTGGACCATCAGTGCTGCCCAAATGCCACAAATACCCACTAGTTTAAGGTCTTCCTACTGTCGGCTCCCACACTTGTCGGCCTGYTTTGCGGGACTACGTCCTGACTCGTAGGACTTGGCCGGGCTAAGCCCAGAGTGACAGAAAGACAGATTTACTTGGACCCACCACCTGCAGGGAGGGTTATCAGAGTTAGGTGCAAAGTGAGRGAGGCAGCAGGTCAGAGAGGATGCCTGGCCATGAAGGCTCCTGGTAGAACCTGGTAGATACCTTATCTGCAGCTTTGAGATGCAGGAACAAAGATTTTGGCAGTTGTTTGTGCTCATGCATTAAACATGACTTCAGACTACCCATCCTTGGCGTCTCTGGACGGTGCCCTGAAAAGGGTACCATCGAGAGATTTTGTTGTTGTTCTTCAGGGTGARTTTAATGTCAATGTAGGCAATGATGGAGACACTAGCTGRGTTTCCATTGCAAATGAGCACAAAACTTGGTCAATATTCTATTAATGTTCAAAAAACGCAGTTTTGCAATTGCCGTGTGTCCATTAAAGAAGAAGTGCTTTTAAAATCACACGTGAATGTTTGTTCTCGTGATAAGTCATTACAAACATGGCCACAACYGATGTAAAAACATACATGAGATATATTCATATTGCTACCATGGCACTAGCGCTCATCATCAGACATCAGAGTTGGTGTCTTATCGAGGCTACAAACGTATACTTTCAGCCATAGTAAAGTGATCGTTTCTAAAAAAAATTCAGATTACTCGCGATTAATCGCAAAAATATCTTGAGATTAATCGTGATTAAAATTTTTAATCTATGCCCAGCACTGGTGATTTTACTACTTCTACTTCCTGTTGTCGTCTTCAACATTTTTTTTTGCCAATAGAAACATTCAGTTGTTGATCACGTGACTTCCCGTGATGCAAAAAAAGTGTTTCCATTGCAGTTTTGCTAAATACACCAATTTCGATACGACCGAAGAACCACTTTAACTTAGCGRAAAACCATTTTGTCGAAAACTGTAAGGTTTTTCTAAATTGACGTGTTTCCATTAAGCAAATTTATTTTCAAATTTTTAATTTGCGCTTTTTTATGGTCAACGGAAATGCAGCTGAGGAATGGCCTTCCTGATCTGAACTAAACTGGTGTTCTGTTACTGGACTTCTGTTTTAGGCATGGGCTGTCCACAGGGAACACCATGTTCGAACAGAGATTGGCCCATAGTTGTTCTTGGTATCAGGCCTTACTGGGCTAAAATTAGATGATGGATTTTGATATTGAATCATCAGCCCTGAAGCTTTATGTCTTGGACACTTGTGTGAATACAGGGACAAAGCTGTCCCCTGACCACCAGGGGAGGCTGCTGAGCAGACCCGATAACCCAGGAAAACTGTCAACTGCTTAAAATGCCACCATAAAATGTATTGAACATTATGATGAAACTCTTCCCTCACTMGATCCTGGACCTGATGAGCAGATGTTTGCATGTTTGGACTGACARAACACTCACTGTCCTGTACTTTTGTAGACTTGTAGATTAATGTGATAAAGTAGAAAGTCCACTTCGTCTGCAAAAAAGATTAGAGTTTTGTTGTTTTTGCCATCCAAGTCTTCCTACTTGTGTTTACAGTTCACACCCAGTGTGTTCAGCTTTTTGCACGTTCCTTATCTTTATTCATCGGCATTTATTGCACATTTCTTTCTTTCTTTTTTTTTCTTTTATTCTGTCTGTCTGAACTCTGACAGTAGTGTCATTTTAATTTGACCTTTAACCTGGTACCTGGCCAATCAAAAATAAATATTTAGAAACCAGAACTCCTTAACATGTAAATAGTGTATCTGTTGTGACCACAATAAAAAAAAACAGATTGTGAAAATTGTAAATCACTTAAAACTTAAACAACTTTTTTTTTCCAAATATGTAAACTTTTTTTATTAAATGCTTTAATCATACTATTATAAATGTGTTAACTTTCTAATTGTTCTGTTTCAATAAGTTTATTATAATTTTTCTCAGAGTCTGGGAAACAAATGTTGAAGGTTCCAGTTCTTTTTACCACATCTACTCACTGGGATTATTACCGGGCCTCCATCTTCCCCTTTTTTTTTTTTTTTATAAAAGTACTCCACATTCCATGCAGTTTGCAAGAAACTTAAAGTTGATGTTAGTTTGAACACTTTTAACAAGAGTTCATCATTGGTTGGGTCTTCTTGAGAGTTTTATTGCTAAAGCAAAGTTGCAGATGTATGTGATGCTACAGAATTCAACCCAAGACCTCTGTGGTCTAAATGATAAAAATCTGAACACCAGAGGAACCCGTGTAGTTTGAAGGACCTGGATCAGTTTTGTCCCCTTCAAACATCCCAGTGACTAGAAATGTATGTAAAGTTATATTTACAGCCAAAGCTGCTGTCAGGTCAGGAACTAACTCTGAAGAGACTAAATGTTTATGCATCTTTTTGTTGTGGTGTTTTTTTTTTTCATTATTACAATGTTTGTACATCAAACTGTTTGATGACAACCAAAAAACGTAGACAAAATATTATGCATTTTTAAGGCACTGTAAAAAAAAAAGAAGAAGCAAAACATGGTGTTGGAACTGTGCAAAAATAATGTTTTATTTTATTTTTTGAACGGTCTTTAAAAAGGTGTTGGCCTCTGATTGTGAATGTTGACCTGTGGGCTTTAAATGARGATCCTGGTCAGAAGTGAATCGTTTACCTT